CTCTTGAGTCAGAAAATAGAGATTCAAAGTCTCCTACTCCCCAAATTAGCCAAGCGAACATGGATACAGTCATCGATTATAGGGTAAATATATTTAGAATTAAAAGGCCTTAAGAATATTTTTTTTTCAGATAGGTGAACTTGGGTTCATAGAAATTCAGTAATGTTGCCTCTCATCTGGAAGGACATAAAACTTAAAATGCATAATTAGACTTTTGGTTAAGATGATGCAGTAAGTCAGCTGTACAGGCACGCATCTATAATACAGCTCTAGGGGAGAACGGGGGTTCCCTTGAATCTAGGAGTTTGAAATCAGACTGAGCAACAACCAACATTCCATCTCAAAAAGGAAAGTTAAACATAAATAAGGACCAGGGCACTAGCTCGGTTGGAAAAATGCAAGATAAATAGGAGTAAGGCAATTGTTCGGAGAGCACCAGAGGGAGGCTGTACAGAAAAGTACAGGAAAAAGTACAGAAAAGCAGCAAAGTCGTAGGGGATGGGGACATGGCTTGGTGCTCAAGGCATTTCCCACACAAATGTGAGGATGGGAGTCTAGAGTCCCGGAACCCATCCATGCTGGCTGGCTGTGGAGGTACACCTGTAATTCCTGTGCGGGGGATCGTCAGGGCGAGCTGGCTATTCACATTAGCAATTCTGATGAACTCTGGGTTCGTTTGTAAGATCCTGCTTCAGTGACAGAGGCAGAGAGAAATGGAGGAAGACTCCCAGGGTTGGCCTTGGGCCTCCACGTGTGTGTGAGCACACGGACACAGACCCATATGCCTACGAGGAATAAAAGGGCAGCAACTGGAAGGATCCAGCATGGATCTAAGAGTCACACAAAAGCGAAATGTAAGCTGAAAAATAGTTCAAGAAAGAGAAACTGAGCAGTTTCTGGAATTGGAACTTTCAACCCTCCCCTCCCACCCTAGGTTAAAGATGATTCCAGAATCCAGAATCTCAAGGGTAAAGGGTAAAGTCTGAAAGTTTGAATAGGGGACGAATCAATACAAGGAACAGCCAACAAGCAAACCGAAACCAAGCAGCCAGGCTCGTCACAAAAGACATTATATAATACCTGCTGGGAAAGGGCTTCAGTTTCCTTAGTCATCCAAGAAATGCAAATTCAGCCCTCTCTGAGAGATCTCAGCACATCACAAGAATGGCTGAAAGGAAGAATATAAGATGTGGGGGAGTGGAGGTAGCCCTGAGCGTGTGAAGCCCTGAGAGAAGGTGTGTTGTTGTTATAGGCACAGCCATGTCAAGGACCCTAGCGCCTTATGACTCTCTCTCTCTCTCTCTCTCTCTCTCTCTCTCTCTCTCTCTCTCTCTCACTGTGTGTGTGTGTGTGTGTGTGTGTGTGTGTGTGTGTGTGTTTGTGTGCAGAAAATGTCCACCCTAGCTTTCTCTCCCTGGATAATTACAACCTGAACACTGCTCCCCTACAGAGATGGCCCCTGTCCAGATCAGCTCAACCTGCCCCTTACGCAGCTCTATGCACAATCCTATTTGTAATCATCCTGCCTCCTTGCTCAGCGGTGTGCAGTAACTCTACCTCTCCGTTCAACTCTGTATAATTAACAAACCCAGCTTTTTGGGTGCCGTGGTTTCTCCATTAGAGTCCAGTTCACCTGAACCCAGCTTTTTGTCTGTGCATCCGCATATCTGTCTTTTCTTCATTCCTCACCAGTCAGGTCCATCCTTGGAGCCTTGCTGGACATGGCAACCAAATGCTGGCAGAAAGGCAGTTGGATGGTACGTTCACATATTGTTGGCGGAAGTACATCCTGACAAACTGTTTTTGGAAAACTGTTTAGCGATATAGAGATTCCCTTCCTATTTTTCCTTACCCAAAATGCTGAGACCAGACAATTTCGGATTCTGGATCCCCTGCCTCCAGATTTTGGAATATTTGCATATCCATAGCGAAATTTCATGGAGGATCCAAACCTAAACACAAAGCTTATTTGTTTTATATACATGGATAATTATATGTAGTTTTAGGGTGCCTGTGGTTTTACTGTGGCCTGTTACATAAGGTCTGATGTGACATTTCTACTTATGATGTTCTATCGGCACTCGAAGAGGGATTTTGGAACATGTCAGATTTTGAGTTTCTATATAGCAAAGATGAACATATATTTTCTCTACAGCCTCAAAATTCCACTCTGAATAGAATTGTATGCATAGAAAATGCACACAAAAGTTCACTAAAAGAACAGCACTATTTGGGGAGCCAAAACTTTTAAAGTACCCCAATGTCCATCAAGATAATAAATTGTATTCATATAGTAGGATATGAGAATTCATGAAAAGCTCATGAAACACAAATAAATCCATGAAGGTAATGTTGATTAAAAGAAGCTACAAACTTGGAGAAAATATTTTACAATATCTTGTAAAGAATTTATAGCCCGAATATATAAAGAACACTTATAGCTCAATACTAATGAACAACTCACTTTAAAGGGGGGCAAAATAAAGTTAGGCATGGTGATATATGCCTGTAATCCCAGCGCTGAAGAGAATGAGGCAAGAGGATCCAAGTCCAAGGCCAGCCTGAACTACATGAGACCCTGTACCGAAAAGAAGAAGGAGGGGGCAAAATAACTGAATAGCATCTTTATCAGAAAAGAGTGGAATTCAGAGGCTTTTGGCCCATTGGTGTAGTACAGGCTTTCTTGTGCTCGTCTATTGCATGTAAGTCTTCATACAACGTCATGATTCACACATCACATTAGCATCTTAATCCTCCAACTGGATGTACATTTCATCATTTCAATGTATTATAATATTATAATAGACAACCTTCAGAGAGTCTGCTTGTGCCCGTGTCTGCAGCCTGATTTAGTCAGCGCTAGCTGGGGACTTTTCTAGCTTTTTGCTGCCTTTTGCCCTGTTCATCTGCCTTAGAAGTTTCCTTCTACGTAAAGCCCCACGTGGGACCATGTATTAGGTGGTAGAGTTATTGCTGGGAAAACGAGTTTTATATTCGAGTCTTCCAACTGGGCAATAATTTTAGCAGTGTAAAATTTTTAGCAGTGTAAAAAAAGTCTGTAACAAGACTCTACCCACATCAACAGTTGAGAGGTGGAGTGGCATTTACTGTAACACACACAGCTACTAAAATGGGCAGAGGGGACATACTCCATTATATGGGGTTGGGGTGCGGTGGAGATCATTGACACAGGTCAACATGTACAACAGATGGCAAGTTGGTAGCAGGCTCTGGCTTTTCTATCCTTAAATTCTGCATCCTGGCTCTTAGGTAAGATATCTACCAGCTGCCACTGCTGCACTCAATCAACCTGCTTTACAGAATCAACAGTTGAGCTTCAGGAATGAGGCTGTGAGTCTGGCCTATGTCGATGACAGCTGTGTCCCGGAATCCATCAAATATAGTCATCTTCTTTCTCTGAGAACTTCCTGAGGGTATATAGAATCAGGGATAAGACCTAATTATCACACGCACAGTGTGCACATAAAATATATGAGCTCCTGTCATATTTTATCTCTGCTTAATCTCTTGCTAAATTCCCAGTTATTGCCCTGACAGGTTTGTTATAAAGCCAATAAAAGGGGAAACAAGCCTGTGCTGTAATGTAGCTGTGTCTGGCATCAAAGCAAGGTATGGATCACACCTTGCTTTAAAAGTTCCAACAAGGTGTGAATTGTGCCATGCTCTGAGAAACTTCAGAGACAACTCTATGATATGGTTTAATACAAGAATCAATGGACCTGGATCAGCAAGATGGCACAGAGGGTAAAGGCACTTCCTGCCAAGCCCAACAATGAGTTCCAACCCAAATTGATGGAAGGAGGGAACCAGTTCTCACAAGCGGCCCTCTGACTTCCACATGGGCAAAGGGCACACCTTCCCCACCCCCACCCCCAATGTAAGTAAGTGCAATTAAGACAAAAGAATCAAGGAAGCTGTCCCCACCCCTTGACTGACTGAAAAAACCTTCTGGACTAGGCAGTTAGCTGCCTCGGGAGACAGAAGAAACTGAAGAGGTTATACATGAAGCTCTGCTCATTGTGGAATATTCCTTTACACTGTGATTGACTTAATAAAGAGTTGAATGGCCATTAGCTAGGCAGGAAGTGGTTAGGTGGGACTTCTGGGGACAGAGAGCTCTGGGAATAAGAAAGGGGGGGGTCACCAGTCAGATGGAGAGGAAGCAGGATGGGCAGTCAGAGTGATGGTAACCGAACCATATAAAGAACATAGATTAAAATGTGGGTTAAAATAAGGGCTAATTTAAATTATAAGAACTAGTTAGGGGGCTAGAGAGATGGCTCAGCAGTTAAAAGCACCGACTGCTTTTCCAGAGGACTCAGGTTCAATTCCCAGTACCTACACGGCAGCTCACAACTGTCTGTAACTCCAAGATCTGCACCCTCACACAGACATGTCGGCAAAATACCAATAAAAGTAAATAAATTATTGAAAAAGAGAACCAGTTAGGAACAAGACTAAAATAAGGCTGAGCTTTCATAATTAATAAGTCTCCGTGCCGTCTTTTGTGAGCTGGTGACCCAAAGAAAGATCAGTCTACGGCTCATAGTTTGCTTTTACCTCCTCCCACTTCCTGCATCTCCTTGGTCTTAGCGAGTACAGCCAATGGTTCCAGGGGCAAAGGTCAGCGGCACCTCAAAAACATGTTTATTGCAGCGATGAATCAAGCAAGCAGAGTAGCTGGCAATCAGTCTGCCTCACAGAAACAGCCTGCAGATTCCACTACTAGCCCCGAGGGAAGTGTAGCAAATTTAGATCCCGCATGAAGTGTTAGAAGAAAGAAAAATAACAACACTAATTTTTGCCATTTTCTCACTGGCCAAGTGGGTCTCATACTACTAAGCTCAGTACGAGGATGAAGTAGGAGAATTTATCTTTATATGCTCCAACGCTTGTCAGGTGTTGGTATGTCTCCTACCCAGTGTTTTTCTTTAATACACAGATTTCTGTAATAATCTAACACCACATCTATCACTGGGTAGAATTACAAAGCATATATTTTATTACATTACACGAGAGGATTCCCTTGGGACTGACTTTCGCATACGTGTTTGAGCAAATGCCGGTGAACACAGGTATCCATCTAGAAAAGTGCTTATGAAATGCCCAGTAATCAGAGGTTTCAGTTGCCGGGAAGGAGCTTCTGAAGTATCGTGTAGGGCTACTAGTCATGCTTTTAACATCTCTTTCTTCCTTTCTTCTTTTGTTTTTTAAAGAGTGAGGTTGCTGCAGAATCCTGGCCGGTGAGCATGGGCAACATCGTTGTTAGTATCTGAATCATTGGCGGTAGAGTAACAACAAGAGACCTCAAGCAAGAGTGAACCTGTTCTCATTCGTCCATAGGAGTCAGAGGGAGGGGCATCAAAGACTTCCCCCTCCAAGTAACCGCTCAGCTGCCCATGGTTTCAGGGAGCGCTACAGTGGACCGGGTGGGGGTAAATAGTTAACCAAAGGGACCCATGTTTGTTTGGGACTTCTGGTGACACAGGTGTTTTAGGGTTGTCCATGTTCCATTATGTAAGCCCTATAAACTCAGCGGTTCCCAAAGCCAGACTCAGTGGAATCCTTTCTTTGGTCTGTTGCTGATACCCCAATAGCGGAGACTATACTCCAGGAAACTGTCCCTCCACAGAGCCTAAGGGCAGTTTGAACTGTTTGGAAAGATGTTAACGATTCTCTTACCTTCAGTAGATGTCTGGAGCAAAAGTCAGAAGAACCGAAAGGTTTCCGAGTGGGACCCAGACAACTTCATGCTCTTCCTAGAAAAACCTGAAGCCTTGAAACACGGTTAGAGGATGTAGAACTCGCACCTGCATCACCATTTGCCTGTGCACCCGGGAGTGTTCTGGCTTTGGCTCAACAAGGACAGGGAAACCCTTTCAATGTCCTGTCCCAGAGATGGTGTCACTTTAACTCAGTCACGTGGTACTGAAGATACAAAAAGCATTCCGCCGGGCGGTGGTGGCACACACCTTTAATCCCAGTACTAGGGAGACGGAAACGGGCAGATCTCTGTGAGTTCAAGGCCAGCCTGGTCTACAAGAGCTAGTTATAGGACAGGCTCCAAAGCTACAGAGAAACCCTGTCTTGAAAAACAAACAAAGAAAAGAAAAGCAGCATTCCCCAGCCTGACCTCCACAAGCAATAATCAGCCGCTTCCACAAGCATCACTACTGCTCTGCTCTGCCTTCTGAGGAAGAAGAGAGAATGATCCCATCAAGGGGGAAAGAGTACTGAAAGAGACTACTGGAAAGTGTGTGTATGTGTGTGTGTGTGGGGGGGGGTCAGATAAAAACCTGGTGCAAGGGAATCCCCCAAGAATCTATTAAGACGATCCCAGTTTAGACTCCTAGGAAGAACAAATTTGTAACCTGAGCGAGCCATCTTTTGTGACCAGATTGGCGGCTAGTCCAATTGTTATCAGAGAGGCCTCATCCAGCAAGAGATGGAAACAGACGCAGACCCACAGCCAAACAGTAGGTGGAGTTCAGGGATCCTGCAGAAGACGGGGAGAAAGGATTGTAGGAGCCAGAGAGGTCAAGGACACAACAAGAAAACCTACAGAAGCAACAAATCTGGGCTCACAGAGGCTCACAGAGACTGAACTGACAGCCAGAGAGCCTACATGGGACTGAACAGGCCATCTACATATGTTACAGTTGTATAGCTTGGGTTCTTTCGTGGGACTTCTAATCTTGCCCAGCCTTAATACCCAGGAGGTATTGCTTAGTCTTACAGCAACTTGATATGCCACATTTTGTTGATACTCATGGGAGATCTGGCCTTTCCCAAATGGAAACGGAGGTGGAGTGGATTGGGGGCTGGGGATGTGGACGGGCCGGGGGAGGGACTGAGAGTAGAGGAGGGAGGGTAAACTACAACAGGCTATAAAACAAACAAACAAATAAATAAGCAAATAAACAAATAAGTAAATTTATTAAAAAGAAATACCTAAAACAATAACAACAACAGTGACCCACGGAAAGGAAACCAGGAGACAAACCCCCAAGGATTGGCCATGGAACCATACTTCCTTACCAGAGTTAGGAACCAGATGATGACTGGAATACGGCCTGATAAGGACCTGGCATTTGCCTCATAGGCACCCTGGTGGTCGCATGGAAAGATGGCAGGAGGAGGAGTAAAAAGCTTGTAAAGATACTCTCCTTTCAAACGGCCAGGTATGAAGGAGGAGACAAAGCTTTCTGCTGTGGATATACTGGGCAAAACAATTGCTCTCAAACATAAACAGGCCAGAGATGAACGGACTTGAGCGTGCTAGCAAGTGAAACAGGCTGCCAGATGTCCGGAAGAACAAACCTGAACCAGAACAATGGCTCAGAGACAGTTAAGTGATCTGTGACCCAGATTCAGGGTCATAGTCCCATGCGACAAATTATAGCATCATGAATGCTCAGTTTTAGTTTATTTTCGGCAAAAGGCAGTCAAGTTCCAAGGGTCATTAGAGAACCACCTTAGGGAAAGGTGCTGCACAATGTCCTACTTGATGTTCTGGGTCAGCGGATTAACTCCACAGCCTTTCCGGGTGTGGCCCAGCTCTGCAGTGATGACCGGACACAGCGGAATTGAGTTGTGTGCCTGGAGAGACGACGCAGTCATTTCTTCACTGCTCACTTTTGCTTCAAGTGTCTAGGAACGGTAGGGGTTAGATGTGGGAAGTTTCCAGTGAATGGCAGGGACCAGCACCTTCACAATGGCCACGGGGTCAAAACAACGAAGCAGCACAATGCTCACACGCAGTTCTCAACTAGAAAAATAGCTAACGTCAGCATGTATGATTAGTCGATAAGACGTCAAAGTAACAGGGGTTAAATTTTGGCTTAACTAAACTGCACCTTCTTAGGCAAATATTATTTCCAATGTCCAGTCCTTCACATATCTCAGGTAGGACTTCCAGTTCTTATTCCAAATGAGAATAACACCAGACTAACGTCACAACTGTAGTTAGTTTTAACAAAATCAATAAAAATAGCCATTGCTTGCCTTCTGACCTCAAATATTTATAGGCCATGTGTGTTTACATGGTTGATATTGACTATAGTCCTATTGAACAACGAACTCTATTACTATCACACTTTCATGATATCTGATATTTTACAGAGTCATCCAAAGAGTCCCAAGCTATGTAGCCAGCACAAGACACCAAGCCCACTTGCTCTTCAGGTGACACTTTTGGATAAAAGAACGAGGGAGAGTCATCTTCACACAGCCACAGGGTAAACGCAGCGTCTGAACACAGAATGCCCTCAGCAGGTACAGGTGAATTCAAAGGACCATCTTAGGGCTAACAGGATGGATCAGCAGCTGAAGCTGGGTGCTTGCTGCCAACCCCGACCATCTGAGCACTATCCCCAGAGTCCAGCGTGTGGCCAATTGACTGCAGCAAGTTGTTCTTTCATATGCATGTTGTCCATGCAGGCTGTCCTAGGCTTTTATCGCTGTGAAGAGACACCATGGCCAAGGCAACTCTTTTTATTTTATTTATTTTTATTTATTTATTTTTTGATTTTTGAGACAGGGTTTCTCTGTAGTTTTTGGTGCCTATCCTGGAACTAGCTCTTGTAGACCAGGCTGGCCTCGAACTCACAAAGATCCTCTTGCCTCTGCATCCTGAGTGCTAGGATTAAAGGCATGTGCCACCACCGCCCGGCGGCGACTCTTTTTATTTATCTATTTTATTTATTTTTCTTTGGTTTTCGATACAGGATATTTGTGTGTGTGTGTGTGTGTGTGTGTGCGCGCGCGCGTGCACACCCGTGTGCACACACACAACCTTGATTGTCTTGGAACTAGCTCTGTGGACCAAGCTAGCCTCGAACTCACAGAGATCCATCTGCCTTTGCCTTCTGAGTGCTGGGATTAAAGGTGTGTGCCACCACCGCTTGGCCAAGACAACTCTTATAAAGGAAAACATTTAATTGGGGCTGACTTACAGGTTCAGAGGTTTAGTCCAGTATCATCATGGTGGGAAGCATGCTGGTATGCAGGCAGACATGGTGCCGGACTGGTAGCTGAGAGTTCTACATCTGGATCCAAAGGCCGTAGGAAGACGCAGTGAACCTTGAAACCTGGCTTGAGCATTTGAAACCTCAAAGTCCACCCCCTCAGTGATACACTTCCTCCAACAAGGCCACACCTCCTAATATGTCACTCCCTGTGAGCCTATGGGGGCCATTTTCATTCAAATCACCACACAGGCACAGATACAAAATAAATGTAAAAAAAAATAAAAATTATAATTTGTGCCAAAGATCAGGACCAACAAGCACATCAGTTAAATCACATACAAGAACAGCACACACGCTATGACTCCGTTCCATGGAGCTATTTTCGGTTAACTCTCAAGTTTTCAGTTAGGCATTGTCACGGCGTGGTGAAAACTCTAGGCAGTGAATGAGGAAAGCTGGGCTGGAGAAGCACACAGGTCCTCAGCACTGCTGGCATCTGGTTGAGATCTAAAGCGTATGTTACAATGTTCATTTCGGTAAAGCAGGATGGGTGGAGTGCTCATTATTTTATGTTTGTATCACACATTTAGAGGTTTAGAAACTCAGTGTTGCAGGAGCAACCATGAGTCAAAGCACAAGGTGCCAGCTGCATTTGTTGTGATAGCAAAGTGACGACAAACCCCCTGCTTTATGAACGGCCTTTGGAGACCAAGGACTTTCATTTGCAGCTTTGATTTAAATTTAAAAAAAAAAACTTAAATTAAAAAAAAGTTTCCATAGTTAAGTGAAAAATATAAAGCACCACTTTAAGATAAATTCCTAATGCTTCCGTTTATCTGCTCTAATTTACAAGTGCAACTATTTCTCACTTGTATTTAATTCAGCCATTTACAATGATTCCCAGATGGCATGGTTTCACCTCAAAAAAGCTAAATATCCTCTCATTTATAGTACCCACAGGAGACTATTCTTGAAGAACTTCGGTCTAATGAGTCAGAAAACTGCCTGGAAAGGCACTCAGTAGTGTGTGAATAGCCTGGAACATTGTGTAAGAAAATAGAATCCTGAGGGCATTCTGAAGCCAGCATCCTCCTGCAGCATCAATTATAACTTCTATCTTTGCTACTTTTCTATTGCTGTGAAGAGACACCATGACCAAGGCAGCTTATAAAAGAAAGCATTTAATTGGGGACTTGCTTACAGTTTCAGTTAGTCTCTGCCCATCATGGCAGGAAGCATGGCGGCGGCGGGCAGGGTTTGTTTTGGACCAGTAGCTGAGAGCTCACATCTCATTCAAAGTTGGAGGCATAGAGAAAGACTAGGCTTGTTATGGGCTTATTGAAACCTCAAAGCCTACCCCCAGTGGCACACTTCCTCCAACTAGAAACCAAACATTCAATTAAGTGAGACTATGGGGACCCTTTTCATTCAAACCACACCTTCTTTGCAGGACTTGCGTTCTGGAAGACTAGGTGAATCAATAATGTCTGTATTGGACAGGTCCTCTAGTGGACAGAGCCAAGAGAATGCATGAACGTGTGCGCTAATACATTTGAATGGCTTATAACCAATAAGGACCAGGTAGTTCCCACAGTGGCTAGAGAGGGTGAGAACCAATTTCTCCTCAGGCTACAAAGCCTGATGCTTCAGCAGTCCCAAAATAGTGCTTTAGGACTAGATGAGTCCTGGGAAGTTGCTAGTCTTCAATCCATGTTAGGAGTCCAAAGATGCTGCTATCTGAGGTCACTGAAGGATGGTAGTAGCATTATCATCATTATCATCAGCAGCAGCAATAGCCATACTCATTAGCAAAAGTGGAAGCAGGCAGGCAGTCTGTCCGTGCAATCTTTTTACGGCCGACGCTGGAAAGAGCTACCCAATCTGGGGTTGTCTTCCCCATGCCAATCTTCCTGGAAGTACCTCCCACACCTGCCTTCTCTTAGTTGTTCACATCAGCCAGCACAGTGCCCAGCTCTGGATGTTTGCTGTTCTAGAATAATCTAGTTTCTGAAAAAGCTGTGCATCATCTTTCCACAGCATGAACACCATATTTAAATCCCCCAGAGTTGGCTTGTCTCTTTATTCATCTGTAGTGCTTTTTTTTTTACCCTTGGCAAACATTCAAAAAGGCATTGGCAATGTCACACAATCCAGTGGTTCATTTAATTTTAAACATGCCTCTAGCTATATATTTAAATCTTACTACTTGAAAGTGTTTCTGTGTATGTACACACCATGTGTGCACACACATGTGGAGGACAGAGACAACTTGTGGGAGTCTATGTTCTCCTCCCATGGGAATCCAGGGGATCAAACTAAAGTTGACAGGCAGGCATCTTTACCCACTGAGCCATCTTGCTGGCCCCTCTAGTTATAGTTTACAAAACGGGAAGAGAAGGGTTTACTTTCAAAAGACAGCATTAAAAATCTTTTACCTGTATTCCTAAATTTAGTGTATGGTTTTACTTTTAACCGTGTCCCTAGTTTTAGAGTAGCTTCACTGGCCAAAAAAATTTATTGGATTAAACATTAATGTAACTAGGAAGCATACTGATGGCTTCCAAATGGCACGCATCTTAGCTTTTCTTCAAGGCCTAACATGGATTTTTCTTTTACTAGTGGAAACGTGGCTGAAATGTCCGCATGCTCACAACAGGTGATGCTGTGTCCAGACACAGGCGCAGCCTCACTGTGGATTGATTGCCACAGGATTCCTTTCCTCAGAGGTAAACTATAAAATTATGCAGCAGATTATATTGAGATTTGACTAATATGCTTTGATAATATTAACCATACATTTCAACACAAAAAAATTTTCTCTTTTGAAGATACGATCTTTTATGGTAAATACAAATTAGAACGAGAGGCATTGGAACGGCCCATTCACTGGTTTGCTGTGCCAAGGCAAACACTTGAAATTCCAACTCCTCATTATCAACGACCGAATGAAGAAATGACTCGCTAGTAAAGTCACAAGAACTTTATTGCAGCAAACACTTTCATGGCATTTGAGAGAACTCAGAATTTCTGTGAAACAGGTTTGAAAGTTATACAATTAAATCAGCCAGAATAGTCTTTATTTAAAAAGAGAAAATCCAAAGCACCAAAAAAATATGCTTAATGTAATAACAAAATATAAAAAGGAAAGCCATGATGGAATGAAAAGGGCAGCCTGCAATGAACGTGAGAAAGGCTGGCATCTGTCTGCCCAGTGTGCACTCTGCCATCACGACACACCACAGACAGGCCAAATGGAATTCAGGTGACCCTGCAAGACCTCCTTGGAGGTTGAAGGAAATTACTGATGAAGTGTTTAAATATTTTTATAAATAATAGTAACAAAAATACCCCACACTTTCAGTCTGCTTCAGCCTGGTTCTTCGCACACCCTCTGGGGGGCTATTATTTTAGGCTTTCTTCTGAAGCCAGGCGCCACGTTACCACATTTATGACTGAATGACGTCATTTGTGCTAGCGGTGACCTACATGAAGCAGAAGGAAGGAAGTCAACATGATCACTGAAGTCCCTGACTTAGCTCATCCAGGGACACTGTGCTTTGGTATCCAACATTCTGAAGTGTCACTTTCTAAGAATGTTCCATCCCAGGGAGTTTCTTAGGTTAAGTTGGAGCAATTTCAGCTCTGCAGACACTTGCTGGGCCAGCTGTTTCCTTGGACTTGGCTTTGCCCTGATGAGAGCTGCCCCAGGGAAAGTCATGTCCTACCCGTATGCCCAGATCCTAAAAGAAATTATTATTTTCTGTGAAAAGACACAAGGACTAAGCAATCTATGGTGATTTCTCTATGTAGCCTTGGCTGGCCTGAAACTCACTATGAAGATCAGGCTAGCCTTGAACTCACAGAGATCCTCTTGCCTGTCTCCAGAGGGCTGGGATTAAAGCTGTATACCACGACCCCAAGGCCTTGAAAGCTTTCTGGATAGAGACGTTGCCTACCTACTGCAAACACAATCACCCCGAGGAAGGCACTACCAGACTGAGTTTGCCCTCAGCTCCTCACAGCTCATCAGAGGTGATGTTCACTTTGGGAAGGTCGCATTCCTTACTGGTTTGACAGTTCTCAAGAATGTCCTTGTAGTGGCTCTTCAGATCCTCATAAAAAGCAACGGTTTCCTGCGAGTGAGCCAAAGGTAACACCTTTTCGTTCAGCAGCATCTGTACTTGGAATTCTTCTTGTGGGGTCTTTGCGTTTTCACAGTGGTAAAGCACAAATATCAAGTTTGAGGCATAAGGTACGATGCGGCCACTTCGGAACTTGCGATGGTCCTGCTCCTTAAAATTATATGCTGTGAGAGGCTCCTTGTCTTTGAAGTAGCCCATGAGTGAGAGCAGTGGCAGGAGGGTCTCTGCATGACCAAACTGGAGGATGACTGGAGAAGAAACTGGCTGAGACCTTAAATAAGAAATTGAAGGGAAAACATATACTCATGTCAAAAAACATAATAGTTATACTTAATGATACCTCATTTTCTCATTTGAAAATGTAATCTCATCTTTATTTTTATTATTATTACACTTAGTGTTAAGTTAAGGGAGGCTCACTAATGCTATGGAATATTCCTTTACACTGTGAATATATATTTAATAAAGAAGCTGAATGGCCAATTGCTGAATAGAATATAGTTAGGCAGGAGAGTCGGAGTAGGGGAATGCTGGGAGGAGGAGGGTCAGAGACTGGAGTTGACAGTCAGACACAGGGGGAGGAGATGAGTGCATCATACTAAAAAAGGTACTGACACGTGACAGAGCGTAAATAAGGAACGGGCTAATTTAAAACGGAAGAGCTAGTTAGTCATAAGCCTGATCTATTGGCTGAGTATAAGTAATATAAGTGTGTTTGTTTGAGAGTGGCTGCAGGACAGGAAATCCCCACCTACACACTATTGCTGTAGCATGGAGGTCAGAGGACAAATGTCAGGAGTTGGTCCTCTCCTTCCACTATGTGGGTCTGTACACAGAACTTGATCGATGGTCAGGCTTGGCAGTCATCTTGATGACTCCTATTTAAAAAGTTCTTTATAAGCCGGGCGGTGTTGGCGCACGCCTTTAATCCCAGCACTCGGGAGGCAGAGGCAGGCGGATCTCTGTGAGTTCAAGGCCAGCCTGATCTATAAGAGCTAGTTCCAGGACAGGAACCAAAAGTTACAGAGAAACCCTGTCTTGAAAAAAAAAAAAATCAAAAAAAAAAAGTTCTTTATATACAAAACTCAAGCATATGGCTGAAATTCTGTGGGAGAACTGAACTATTTTTACAGAAAATGTCAAGTTCTAGGAATGAGGATATCCGGAGTGCTGCATCCCTACCTGAAGACGAACACAGGACCATTCTGTTGAGAAGACCCTCAAGTGCCCACTGCAGCAGTGGTCTGCCTTTCTGTGTGGTGAGGGCTGAGCAGGTCCCCGGGAAGACTGCTCTATGGCGCACCCCATGAAAGAATCCACTCAAAGTGCTGTCTCTTTCCACGTGTTCTTTCTCTCAGTACATAATTATTCATTTGTGTGTGTGCACCTTTGCACACACAGAGAGACCAGAAGAAGGTGCTGAGTGCTAGCCTCTGTCACTTTCCTTTAAGACTGGAGGTCTTTCCCCAATGGTTGCCTTTTTTTTGGGGGGGGGGTGAGGCCAGAGTTCAGCAGGCCCCAGTAATTCTGTCCCCAGAGCTGAAGGAACAGGCATTTGTGAGGATAAATACATAACAGGCATGTGTTGGGCGGAGAGATCAAAAGGGCTGAGCATAAACTGTGAATTTAAGGCCCTTAAACATATCTAAACTACAGAAAAATTAAATCTAGGTTGTGATCCATTTGAACTAGAGTTTGAACATAAGAACACATCTATCACTGAGCTTGCTATAATCCCAGTCTGACCCAAATTTTAAAACTGAAGATTCTTTATGCTTAAATTTTAAAAAGTGCCTCATTTTTTCTTCTATCTCCCTTGCTATCAACAACGTTGTAAAATCAAGTTTTCAGAAGAACATTAAGGAAAATGGTGCTGTAAAATGTCACTGTGGGGCCAGAAAGGAGAAGTTTAAAGCACAGGCTACTCCCACAGATGCCCAAGGCGGGTTCCCAACATCATATAAGACAGCTCACAATTGCCTGTAACTCCAGCTCCAGGGGATTGGATGCCCTCTTCTGGCCTTTGCTAGTACCTACATGCATGTGTGCACGTGCACACATAAATAAATATTAAAGATAACTTTTTAAAAACACTGAGTTTTCGAAAGGTGTACTGAGTATTTTATGTACAATCAAACTGTTTATATATTAGATTCATAAGGAAGCCATGCAAACCACAAATAAATTATTGTCTTCTGGCATTTGATTGAATTTAAAAATAACTTATTTTTTCCTATAAATTAGTATTTACAGAAGAACTACTTATGAAATTATTTTACAAATATATTTTATGAATAGATAAAATTTATAATATTTATAAAATAATTTATAAAATAAATTATTCTAGATGGCGGGGCTGGATACATGGTTCAGGTGTTTAGAACACTGACTGGTTATTCTTCCAGAGGGTCTGGGTTCTACTTCCAGCACCCACACGATGGCTCGCAACCACCTGAAACCCAGTTCCAGTGACCCCCAATACCCCCTTCTGGCTCCATGGGCACAATACACACATGCAAGCAAAACCTACACATAAATAAAAATAAATAACAATTTAAATTTAAAACAATTTACAACAGGAAAGAAAGTGCTCGTTTTAATAAATGCCACCAGAGCATGATCTGATGCAGAACACTCTCTGCTGTAAAAACAGAACTCTAAGGCTCTGGCTAATATGCCGGTACCATAGAACAAAAAAAATTATGATTATAGCTAAATGTAAAATGTTTTAATCCCTCAATAACAGTCTAAAAAGCTAAATGAGAATCATTAAAAGCAGTTAGAACATGGTTCCAAATGTGTCTATAGGAAATAATAACTAATAGTTTATGTATTTTATAGTAACCAAGTAAAGATATTTTAAGTTTATAAAATAATGTCAAATAAAATAAGAGGAATGAGCATGATTTCAAGTTTGATGTTTTCTCAACCTTTACTGCGGATCAAAACATCCAGTATGAAGCAGATGTTCTTGTAACTAAGAAAGAGGGTACAAGGTGGTGCTGCTCATATTAAAATAAAAGGTCCCAAATAAAACAGCCATGTTCATTTTTCAAGATGTCATAAGGAACAGCCTTTTCAAAGGTCCACTGGGCGAATTTGCTGGGTGTGGTAGAAGCATCCCTCCATGCCGGGCACCTCACTCACCACTCACGTGGGTTGGGGTGAAGAGAAAGGCGGGTAAGATAACAGGAGGCAATGGGTTTCTGGCTCTCACAGATAGTTGCATCTAACTTGGTAAATTCTTCTGTCTGAGGAGGAACTTGCTAAGGATCAGTGTGTGGAGAGCCCCATGTACCTACTCCTTCCTGCCTGATAACTGAGCAAGTGCAGCAGCCGGCTGGCATTGCCAAGGCAGGAATACACTTGTATTTGCTGTACACAGGAACACACTGGAATTCACTGTTTAGACCAGTCCAGCCTCAGACTCCCAGAGATTTGCCTGCTCCTGCCTGTCAAGTACTAGCATTAAAGAAAGGCATGGACTACTACATAGGCCATAAAGTTACATATTTTAAAAGATTAGTTTCCCTCAGGTAGAATGTACCTGAAAATTAAAAATAAACTCGTGGCTTGCTACTCTGGCTCTGGATGCAAGTTCAAAATCAAGAGTACATTTACAACTAAGAATACAGAATGCATTTCTTCATTTATATATAAAAAAAAGCTTGTGGCTGTACATAATCTGATTTCTACTTTGTTGTTTAAAACTCAGCTGGTAAAAATATCAATTAGATAAACATAGACTTCCATGGAAACATCTATGTCAAAAAGGGAATGGGCCCCTGAAAGGGTTAATATAGTCCTTAAACAGCTGCCCACGCTTTCATTTCCCTACCCTTTTATAAGACCTAAATGTCTATTACTTAAATGTCTGGGGTGGGGTAGATTTAAGTAATATAAGCACTCAGTGGGGAAAAAATATTGTGTTTCTCTTCTAAATTACACCTGAGTAGCAAATGTGTGTAGGGGGGAGGGTGTGTAAAGGATCCTCACTATGGGAGGCTGACTGAGCTGTGGGATTTTTGCACATGCATATACAAAAGATTTTTTTTCATGTGCACATACTGTGCTGTGCTCATTTTCACATCCCACCCCCCCTCCTAACTCCCTCTGAAGTCTTCCTTCCCAACAATCTCTCTCTATCTCTCTCTTTTTTTTTCTGTTTGCTTTGTTTTCATGACCCACTGAGTTGCGCTAAGGCCGCTGGCATGAGCATGGTGAGGGGCTGTTTACTGGAGCACCAGCAACTCAACAGTGGCTGCGCCCTTCCCCATCAACCTTTAACTGCCAACAGCTTCCAGGGAGAGATGGGGCTTCGGGAACGCCTCCCCACACAGGGGCTTTGAGCAGCTCCTGTTGCAAGAGTATATGAACTGATTTTTATGAGAAGCCATTAAAAGTATGCACATAGTTTTTATAAATGTTTTTAAAGGGAGGATTTCTTTTGGCTTAAGTTTCAGAGGGTTAGTCATCACCATTCACCAGAAGAGGCAACTTCACAGAACCCTGTGGCAGCAGGGCCTGGCTGAGTAGAACTGTTCGCTTCACAGCCAATCAGGAAGAGATTGGGTAAATCAGTAACTCCTATAAGGAAGCAATTAAGGTTCATTTCTAGGGACATGTTGCCATTGCTCCGAGCACTAAACTGAAGAGTAAACCTCAGGGAGTTCAATTTAGTTCTAAGCCATCTCCTGGGAACAGGTCTGCTATGATTCAGACAGGCTAACTCCATGAAAGCACCAGTCGCCGGTTTCTGCCTCTGCTGTATCCCAAGGATAGCATGGAAGGTGTCTGGATTTATTTCTGGCCTTCTCTGAGTCAGAGCTCCAGAGCTAGTCTACGATGGAGCCCAGATACTAGCAACACAAATGGGAGCAAATGTGCCTGAGTCTGAATGGAGAAAATGCGCTCTCTCTGTCTCTCTCTCTGTCTCTCTCTCTCTCTCTCTGTCTCTCTCTCTCTGTCTCTCTCTCTCTCTCTGTCTCTCTCTCTGTCTCTGTCTCTCTCTCTCTCTCTCACACACACACACACACACACACACACACACACACACACACAGAGGAAGGGGATTGTTGGGAAGAAAGTTTGTGGGTTTGTGGGCAGGGGAAGGGACCAGAGGGTCATGCAATGAATACGCTGAAGACAGATCATGGACATGTATGGACTGTAATTCAGGTTGCTTGTGTGATCATGGGCATGGGATTGTGGCATTAGTTATAGGAGCACAGGTGACTTCCCATGGCTACACCAATGAAGAAGAATGCCCTG